TAACTTAGTTAGGAATAAATTTATTCCATTACTAGAATAGTAAATCCTCATTACCAAACAAGGTAATAATCCACATGGCATCTTATTCAAATTCAAATATGCATTTCATATTCATACTAGATGGCACGCCCGCGCATTGCACGGGTTTATTTATTATATTTTTTTTATTTTAATATCGAATTTTTATATTTTAAGAAATTGTAAACGATTATTGTTTCACAAAAAAAATATGTCAAATATTGATTATAATAGAACATTTTGCTATTGTTCTTTTTTTTTTTTTTTTTTAATAATTGGGTTTTTATGTTTAAAGATTGTTGAGAATCGTTATATGATTGCCATTTAAGATGTCATTAATTGGTCCCTGTGTTCACTGCTTATTGGTGTTGATAAAATAGGGATGATTCACATGCATTCAATTAATGTATGCAGTACAAATCTTTTACATTCCTCTTTTAATTTGATAAAATGCAAGTGATGGAAGATTGAAAAGGTCAGTTTGTAATTCAGCAAGAATTGAATTAATTGAATTCAATACATAGAAGTTGAAAGTCCCACAACTTATGAAAGTGGTTTTGACACAAATAAATTAATTAATTGAAGAACGAAATAATACTGGAACATTTTAGTGATAGGAATATATTCCCTTTTCAAAGCTAATGAAGAGTTGCAACACTTTTCTTACAACAATTTGGTATATAATAATATAATTGAAATGACAATTTTGCCCTTCTTAAAATTAGTAGTTCCTGCATGGAATATAACCATTGCTTTGAGGTCCAACAGTTAATCTTTCACCATTTTAAAAGGCTACCCAGCACCATGAAATGAGCAAAATAAAATAAATAAAACTTGTCACCCTTCATCATCCAACACAAACTGTATTCGCTACAAAACACAAACTAATACTGGTTATAGAGTCCACAACAAAACATGTATAACCTATCTAGAATGTAAGTTTGCAACTTTTTGATAATAAAATATGCTTATTATAAACACTTGCAATTAACATTGTTTATAAGACACAGAAAAACAAATAAATGGACAAATATATAATAATATATATATAATATTATATATAATATATATAATATATATATATATAATATATATATATATTTTAGACACAGGTCTAGTCTTACAAAGAAGCCTACAAAGGAGGCATACAAAGTTAACCTCCACCCTCCATGTTAATCATTTCTCTCTCTCTCTCTCTCTTTTTCTTTTTCCGTTTTTCCTTTGTTTTTTTCTTCACTTTGTAAGTTTCTTTGTAGAGTTCTTTGTAAGGATAGACTTATTCATATATTAAATGGTTCATACTGTGTCTACGCCAAAAAAGAAGTGTTCATTAAATTATGACCATCATTGCCAAAGGTTGGCTGCATAATAAAGGAATCAAAACTGAATCAATTTACGTTCAGAAATAAATTAGTAATAATATGAAATTTCATAAACAAACAATGGTTTAAAGTAAGCACCTGTTAGTGAGGCAATGGCTGGCTACACTTGGAATGACCACTTTCGGTTGCTCAACAGGTGGTGTATAGGTTGTTGTTGTAGGTGGAACAACTCTTAGTCAAACACAGAGAGAAAGATGGGAACTGTAGTTCCAAGCTCCATGAATATATCAAAAACTGATAATGAAACAGGCATCATTGATTCTCCAAAGAGCTTGATGATGGAGCTTAGTTCGTCCCCAAGTCAAGAGGTTAGTCAAATTAGCCAAATATGAATATGAATATCCAAGAATTTGTCAAACATCTGCATATGTTTTAATCCAAACTTAAGTTCTATGCAAAAGTTCACTAAAAACTTAAAATTTCTATTTGAAAACCTCTTTCTGCAAGAAGTTTGAGTTTATACTTAAAGAAAATAATGGGTTACTAAATTCAGTCTGGTTGCATAAAAGCACCAAGAAAAAAAAAATTCAACTGCATTTAGACATTAAGAAAACTTACAATTATAGTTATTGTAAATAGACAAACTAATATAATAACTTTGACACCACGTAATTTTAAGCAACGTGAACAAATATTATGATCCAGGAGAAATTATATAACTATATAAATTCAGCATAAACACCTCTATTTGTTGTGATAAAACAAATATTATGATCCAGGAGAAATTATATAACTATATAAATTCAGCATAAACACCTCTATTTGTTGTGATAAACTGCACAAAAAAATCAGCACATAATAGACATATACATAGTTTCAATTTAATGAATTCTGCTTTTAATACAAACTACCACTTCGAATTCATGAATGGTAATAAATATGTCACTTGACATTCATATATATCAAGTAAATATTAACATTAGCATTGAAATTAAAATTAAAATACTTGGTACAATTCAGATAAATCATGTAACAAATTGTTAATATATCAACATATATATATGATTCAAAGTAATGAGTCATTTAACTGATACAACTTATCTTTTCACATTTATGAAATTCAAAATAATACCTTATCAATCCATTAATATTCACATTCATTCATGAATATTAATTAATATTAATATTTCTATACCCTTTCACATTCAATTAATTAGTATTAATATTAATATATCTTTACCCCTTCACATTCAATTAAACAAAAACAATGAATCAAACTAAATTCATTAAACAAAACATATAATCATGCGTATGAATTATTATTATTAATTAATTTTAATATTAATATATCTATACCCCTTCACATTTAGTTAATTATTACCAATATTAATATATCTATAACCCTAGCCTTCACATTCAATTAAACAAAAATAATAAATTAAAGTAAATTCATTGAACAAAACGTATAATCATAAAACTAAATTTTAATTATAAAACATATAATCATAAAACATTTAATGTGAATGTGAAGTGTATTTATCTAATTAAACACATCCAACAAACATTGAATGTATCTTGTTATATAGATATTTGTTATTAATAATACCAAATAGCTTAAACCAATAACATGCACACACTTGTAACAATTATAGAGCTTCTTAGATCCTATGTGGCAATCAAATATCAAGTGCTTCAGAATTATATAGATATAAACAATGAATCAGACTAAATTCATCAAACAAAACATATAATCATGCATATTAATATATCTGTACCCCTTCACATTCAGTTAATTATTACTAATATTAGTATATCTTTACCCCTTCTTCCTTGCTTTCTTGTCCATCCAACTAATTCAGTTTGGAAAGTCAATCTAAAATTGCCTCATTTTCCCAAGTTGACCCTCAGTGAATTGCAGATTCATTTGTATTCCTCTCATGTTTGAATTAAAAAACAGAAAAACTTATAACCGTTAAATTGTGAGCACAAAAATATGCATTTAATAGTTTGTTATGTCATGATTTAATCAATACAATTAAATTATTATTTTGAATGGTTACTCATGGTAACTGAAAGTTTGAAGTTGAAAGCATTATAATATAAACAGTTTAAAGTGTTTATGGGGTGCTTTTTGTTAGGTTATTTTTGTTTGAAATTAATTCCGTTATTGCTATAATCAGTCAATATAGTTGTCCATTTTATAGTACAATTCCTGGTTATTATATTGTTTAGTACATATGTTTAATACTGTATGATAGTATCAAAGTGTTTATGGGGGTAGAGTCTGTTATACTATTGTTATTTACAGGCTTTCAATTATTTACTTGTTTTGTACGCATCGTATATTATCTCTGTTCACTGGGTTTCTTAGACTTTTTTGTTTTTGAAAGTTGATGTTGAAAGCATAATGATATTAATAGTTCAAAGTGTTATGGAGTGGAGTCTGTTACGTCATTTTTTATTTATAGGTTTCTAATTATTTACTTGTCTTCTAATTACAATATAATATTTCTGTTGACAGGGTTTCTTAAGGTCCTTAGAAATAAAGCAACGATGGCTAGATTCACCTAATGTGATTGCACGATTAGAAAGAAATCAAAGGATTCTAGAACTTAAGAAGAAAAAGTGTACTGGGGACATAATTTTGTTACAAAAAAGAATCGAAGGAACTGTAAATGAATTAAAAGACAAACAGGAGATTGTAAAAGTCGTTGGAAAATCTTGTGCAAGAATCTAGGAACAGCTTGATGTCCTTAAGAAACAGGAAAAAGAATTACTGGATGAAAACGCAGACTTACAACCTGCTCTTGCAAAAACAGAAAGATAGAGAGATCAAGCTGCTGATATTGTGACAGACATGTTTATCAAAACATGAAAACCAAGTGTCTACATGTTATTAGTTTAGGCTATAATTGCTGTGAGTGTTTGCATGTTATTGGTTTATACTATTTTGTATTATTACTAACAGATATATTCAATGTTTTATAGATGTTAACTGTTTTATTATTATTAAATTAGATCAAGAGAAACTCTTCACATCATGATAAATGTTTTATGATTATACATTATCTTTCATTGTTTCTGTCTAATTGAATGTGGACGGGTACAGAACGTGAAAGGGTAGATATATATAGATAATATTTGTTATAATTAATATGCATGAATAAATGCAAGCATTAATATATTGATAAGGTGTATTGTTGAATTTTGTGAATTTGATGAGATGCGTTGTATCACTTAAAGGATTCGTTGCTTTGAATCCTATATATATGTGGATATATTAGCAATTTGTTACATGATTTATCTGAAGAAAGAGAGGTAGTCAACTTTTAATTGTGCTAAAGCATTTAAATTGAGTTTCCTAGAAGCCTGTGCATATTTTTTAGTAGAAGCCATGTTGGAAGACAGTATCTCTGCTGATGTCAATAATCTTTGAAACATTAACTTGTATAAAGTTCACAGGAAAAACCTGTTAATTGCTTTGTACTTTTGAAACTGTTTGTAAATATTTACGTTGCACTAACAATTGAAATTTTGTATTCTGTCAAAAAACATGTTGCTAAAAATAGACATGAATATCTACTTTGTGTTAGTTAGTAATAAATATTACATGATAATATTTAAAAACACAAGAAAAAGAAGAAAAGAACAACAATTTTCTCAAAATCTCAATTTTTTCCTTCTAGAGCTTTGATATCTCTTACCAACAGCTGAAGGTTCATCAATAATATTTTCTTCCTGTTCAATGTATTCTGGCTCTTGGTGTTCTGTTCCTTCACCCTTTTCTTTACTTATGTTTGAGGTACCTGAATTAGAAGATTGCATTATACTGCATTGTTCTTGTTCTTCGACAGATGATTTGGTAGTTGATGTTTTGTCAGTAATTTTTGGTGTTAAAGCCTGATGTTGAATCGCATTTGCTATTGATGAATCCTTTCCATCTTCCTCTTCAACTGCCTGTAATTTTTGTACAAACTATTAATAGCATATTAATGTCAAGCAACTATTGCTATCATTTGAATTTTTAAAAATGTGTTACTTAAAATAAAAAATAAAATATACTGACCTCTTCCAATCGCTATAGCTTGTAATCATTTTCTAGTTCATCATTGACTGGAAATTTTTTTAATACAGTATAAGTCTCATATCCTAGTTTCAGATCAATTTCTGACAACTTAATTTTGAAAACAACACAAAAAGCATTTACAACATCTAGAATTCTTTCATGATTGTTTTCTTGGGTTTTCAATAACTGGGAACATGACAATCCAACCAATTTCTGGCATACTGAATCAAACATTATAAAAGCTGCTTCAACAGTCCCATCTGTGAGTGCAATATCAACTTTATACCTGTTATAACAAACAATATTCATTAATAAATATCAAATGTTAACGTTATAATGCATTGTCTTACAACAATTATTTAATTTTCAATAAAAAACTTATTCACCTCATTTGTGGAAATTTTATCTCCTTGTTGCATTTAAGACAGTAGAAATTGCTATTGTTCATATTGGGAATTTTCTTCTTACAAACACTGCAAGATAAGTAACACCAACCAAATCTTCCATTGACTCCAATTATTTTTCCCTTTATTGTATATTCTGTAATCCGATCCCAGTTATACCACATAAGGCTGTTAAGATATTTCAAAGATACTCTATTTTGAAACATCTCCTCCTCAACCGATATCTCATTTAGCTTTCTCTTTTGCAATTTAACAACTGGAATATTTTTCATTACTGCAAATCGTACAGCAAATGAGACATAAATTGTATAATTATTTCTTAAAATATTTGCAGAAAAGGCTACTAAAACATGTACTTTCTCTGCAAAAGATAGACCTCATCAATTTCCATATTGATATAGATTCTTGATCCCGAAGTATTATTAAGATATATTGTAACACCCCACTTGAGGTACATAGTTAAATTGTGTTGTATTGCTTGAATGTTTATTGAATTGTTCTCGTTTGAGCTTGCATGGTGTTATTTTCAGTTGGCTGACCCTTAGTTGGATGGATGAGTTGGTTTGGTTAAGTGTTTGCCCTGATTTTGGTTGAGGCTTGGTGAATGTTTGAATTTTAGTCTTCGCCGGGGCGAAGAATAATCTTCGCCACGGCGATGCTGACTTTGTAATTGCGGTGTCAGTTCTGTAATTCTTCGTCGGGGCGACGGAGAGTTCTTCGCCGCGGTGACGGTCCAGTTGAAAAGGTTAATGAAGTTTTTAGATATTTTTCCATAGGGGCAAAATGACCATTCTACCCCTAATTAGCAGGAAAAGTGGGGAGTGAATTGTAAGGAAATTTTATGGAGAATAGTTTAAATGGGGGGTGCATTTGCAAAGAATTAAAGGGCAAAGGTGGAATTCCTAAGAAAGAGTAAGGGTAAAATGGGAAAGAGTGGAGAAAATATGAGATATTAAGGGTTTAGCTTTAGAAACTCTTTCATTCATTCTTCTCCACCGCCTCTTCCATCCTTCATTTCTCTCAAGCTTTCATTCAATTTTCCAAGGATTTTTGGAGGACTTTTGACTAGAAGTTGATACAAGTTGATCCTAAGCACTTAAAGGTTTAAGAGAAAGCATCAAGCCATTAAGAGTAGAGAGCTTAAGTGGATTCTACTTGAGTATAAGGTAAGTAAATCCACCTAAGTTGTGATTTGCATGATTGAATGATGTATAGAGTGATTAATGCTTGAGTTTTTATGTTTGAAATGAGTTGATGGATTTATGAATGAGTTCAATGTTGATTTATTGAGAGATTTCCACCATGAGAAGGGTGGATTGTGTTGATAAAATTTGGTAGAAGTATGGATAGAATTTGAAGAATTTGAGAGGAATATTTGAAGTGTGTTTTCTTTGTAGGATGTGTGATGATTTGAAGGAGTTGAACTCCAATTTTGGATGGTTAAGAAAGAAGTAGAACTATAGTGAGAGTAGGGTTTATGTATGCACACATATTGTTTGATGAAATGCCTAAGAGAAGCATGAGTAGAAGTAGAGAACCTTACTTTATGCAACATAGCATATTTGCATTTCATGAGTGCATATAAGAAAGATTCTAGGCATGAGCCATCCATATGCATATGTTTATATGTGTAATCATTAAAGAAAGAAATTATGAGTAATGAGAAAGAAACATTCTAAGAATAGAGATAAAGAAAATAATAAATTCTCTTAGAATAAAGAGAAAGAAAGAATTAACACTAGAGAATAAAATGAATAAAAAGTGCTAAAGAAGAGAAAAGATAATAGGTTGTGCGATGGGGAGCCCGTGAGTGTAGAAATTTCCCGCATGTAAACTGCCGTGAGAGAGCGGTCTTTGCCTTGAGAGAGCGGAATGAGAATGAGAAAAAGAATTTGTATAGCCGTGAGAATACACGCGGATGAGAGCTATACACGAGAGAGAGTACACTCACATGGTCAAGGGTTCCGAATCCATGCATCGACCAAGACCGAATAAAAAAAAAAAACCGAATGAAAAAGAATAAGAATAAGAATGAGAAAGACAAGAAAAGAAAGAAAATGCATTGCCTTGCATTAGTGCATATGAATCTCATCCGTACATGTTATCATGCTATCTCTCATAGCTGATGAGAACAGAGAGAAAGAAAAGAACAGTAGAAAGAGAGAAAGAACAAGAGAGATTGAATATGAGAAAGTGGCAAGAGTAAGGAAAGAATTGAAAGGTGATACATGGGGATAGCGGAGTAGAGGATTACTTACTGAGCATCTGTGTGCTCACCCCGTTGTTTTCTATGTTTTTGTAGGACATAGGTGAGGATGTGGTCGGATGGACGTCGGTAAGCGGGGAGACTTGACTACACTGTCCACTTTTTTTAGAGTCTTTTTGTACAAATGATATTGTACTATGTAAAGAATGTATATATTAAGTAAAGAAAAATTTTTGGGCCCAACTATTTTGATAAGTATACTTGTGTTTTCATTATCATATTATATGAATATGATAGTAGAAAGAAGTCGTTACATTTTTGGTATCAGAGTAGTGATTTTGGGATGGGACAGTGTGTCATTCTCGCCACCATGATGTTCCTTGGCCGACCACTATAAGTTAAATTCTTTCCTTACTAGCGTGTTATTGAAGTTGATGTTAGAATGATTGTTTTGTAGATGAGATATAGAACCCGATCAAAGGGTCAGAGTTCAAGGGGTAGAGGGGAATCCTTTAATCCGCCAGACCCTACGCCCCCTCCCTTGGATAAAGCTAGAGTTCGGAGGATTATACAGCAAGTTATGGCAGAAACCTAAGGGAGAGTTGTAACCCCCGTGTAGGTACCACCAACTCCTAATGTCGGAAGAGAAAGGCTGGTTCGTCCCCCAGTGCAGAATCGAATTGAGTCGATTTATGGACTTTCGAGTCAACACCAGCCGTCGGAATTTAAAGGTACAACGGATCCTTTAGTGGTTGAGGAGTGGTTTAAGTCCGTTGAGCATGTGACGGCCTTGTTTCCTATGACAGACCGAGAGAAGATCCGGTATGCAAGTTTTCTGTTTTGGGGAGATGCCCGAATCTAGTGGGAATTAATGGAAGAGACTCATGATATTACAACTATGACTTAGGGAGACTTTAGAAGAGTGTTTGAGGCTGAGTATCGAACGGTTGACCAGGTTCATGAGAAGATACAAGATTTCATTAATCTGAAGCAAGGGTGGAGTACAGTAAAAGAGTATTCAGTTAGATTCAACTCCCTTGCGAGGTTTGCACCTGGGATTGTGAGTACTCCCGAGTTGAGAAGAGAGAAGTTTGTTCACAGGTTGAAACCAGAAATAGCCCGTGATGTTATGTCAGGAGCCGAGCCCCCTCATACCTATAGTGAAGCATTAGAGCGGGCTTTGAGAGCGGAGATTTATGTGAACAAGCTGAGTTCAGAAGGGTCATCCATGATAGTTCAGAATGAATCATCCCCTGCTCCACAGAAAGAAAGAGTTGAGGTTGTGAGAAATAGAGACATGAGAAACAAAAAGAGATTCCAACCAAAGAAAAATAGGGGCGATTGGCAGAGTAAACGGCCTAGGACTGTGGGAGTCACTCCATGCCCTAAATGTGGGAAGAATCATTTGGGGGAGTGTCTAAAAGAGTTTGGTCCGAATGTTTGCTATAGGTGTCGACAGCCAGGGCACCTAATGAAGGATTGTAAAGCTTCTCCACAAGCAGCACAGGCTTCTAGAGGTGGCGACGTCTGCGAATTTCAAAACACATAGTTTTACTTTTCAGAAATTTCTTAGGTTTTTGGGGGATTTATAAAAGGAAAAACTTAGTCTTTTCGTTGGTTGTTCGTTTTTAGATAGACAACAGTTTTTACATATTCTAAAATTCAATTTAAGTGATTTTGGGATTTGTAATATCTGCTTTCTAATCAAGTACTCATAAAATATACATAATGAAATTACATATAAGATAGTAAAAGAGTTGGGCCTAAATTTTTCTTTTATTAAATCATATACATTCTTTATACAAAGTTTGGATTATGTACAAAAGTTATTGAAAACATGATGGAAAGTGTAACCATTTCTCCTCGCGTGCCGACGCCTATCTGACTGCGTTCTCACCTAGATCCTGCAACCACGAAGAAAACAACGGGGTGAGCACAAAATAATGCTCATTAAGTAAATCCTCTACTCGACTGTCTCCTTAATTCTTTCTCTTAATTCTTTCCTTACACTTTTTCTCATTACATTTATTTTCTCTTTCACACAGCTCTCTTACTTAACTTCTGTTATATGTCACGGCCTCATCTTACCGGAGGCATGGTCGGGTGGAGTTCACACAGCACCAACCCACTCTTTGTGACTTTCGGGTGGAGATCACATAGCACCAACCCATTTTTTGTAACTTTCGGGTGGAGATTACAAAGTACCAACCCGCTTTGAATAACTACTGGGTGGAGGTCACAAAGCACCAACCCGCTTTTAGTATTTTTCTCATCCTCTCTACTTTTAGAGTAGTTCATACACATAGTTCTCTACTCTTTGTCAAGCCACTTCTCAATGCACAGTTAATCTTCTCCACTAATGCACTCATGAAATGCCAACATGCAATGTTGCAAGAATTAAGGTTTATTACTCATGATTCTCTTAGGCATTTCATCAAACAACTAGTGTGCATACATAAACTCTACTTTATCTATGGTTCCATCCCTCTCTTAAACCATCCAAAATGGGAGGAAACTCCCTCACATAACTATAATTCTAGTCATAAAAGAACACTCCCAAAGAAAATACTCAATCTCCTCCAACTGCATTTCAAACTACATCCTCTCATCACTACATATTCATCACATATTAACACTTCTCATCGATAAAGTGTAATCAACAACCATAAACAAATACTCATCTCAACCCAATTTCTCAATAGCATAACATACGCATGCATATATAAATCTCTGCTTAGTCCCTACTCAAAAGATTCTCAAATTTCAACTTGGATTTGATTTACTTACCTTGTAAAGCACTTTCCTTTCCTTTAAAATGCTTGTCCCTTCTCTACAACTTTACACAATAAAACCATAAGCCTTCAATGTACAAATATATGCAAAACTTCACATCTAAAGCAAGAATCCTTACCTTAGGATGCCTTAGATTGATTTTCTACCCCAAACTACTCCAAAAAGCTCTCAAAGATCCTTGAAAGATGGAAGGAAGAGTTAAGAGGAAATGGTGAAGAATATGGCGGTGGAAGAAGAATGAATGAAGGGTTTATAAAGCTTATCCCCTTTTTA